GAGCTCTCAGAATTAATCAAAAATATCTTAAATTGTGTTCCGAAGATGAACGAAGGTCTTACGGGTTTGGAACAACACGAGGGTAAGTAATTAATGACAGAATTTCATTTTTGGGTGAACTAACCCTTTAAGTATCTAATTATTATCAAGCTTAATGTTAAGCCAAACAGCATTAATATATTGTTATTATACAATTCATTTTTATCTTGTATTAATTGAACAAATGCATTATGTATAGCATAAGCATTATATCAAATACGTATAATATTGTTGTTATTAATTTGTCAAGTACTTTAAGTATATATTTTAAACACTTTAAGTATATATTTTAAACACTCCTAGATGTTGTATTTATATTTATATATTTATCTTTATATAAATGTTTAGTTATACATGTGTACAATAAAAAACACACACACACATATGCATATATAAATATTTATGTATATATTTTCATGTTCACATAATTTCATAAGTCCGTTTACAATCGGAGGCTTCTCTTGCAGCACATGCTCATACCAGTTGCTAAAGCCTGATCAGAAAATAATGCATTTGTTTAAGAAAAAAAAAACTGACACATTTTACTGATCCTGTCTTGTGCACAGCTTTAAAACTGAACTCTGGTTGTCTTTTCTCAGTCACACTGCTAATCTCATTTTAATGAACTTCCGGTGTTTAGATGTGAGAAATTTGGCTAAAGTTTGTGCTTGCTGTTTCAGCAGCAGGATTGTTCCAGTCAGGCCCTCATGCCACGCTTGCGTGATTTAAATGACAACAGTTAAATGTGCAGAACTGCTCGAGTGACTCTGCTAACCTGCTTCCACGTTTCTGAGATCCAAGACATCCGATAGCCCCTGAAGCACCCTGGTAGAAAAAGAAAAGGTCGCCACCTCTACGTCTGTGAAACTTTCCATTTAAGTGTGGCATGATAGGAAGTGACTCCTTATGTCCCCTTTGCTGTTTAGATGCGAGCTCAAAAGAAAGACAACTAGGTCATGATTCACAGTAGATTAATTTATAGACTCATACTCTGTGTTAAGGAACATACTTTGAAACCGGAGCCTCTCAAGATACAAGTTACGCATAATTACAAGTAGATAAATTACAGTCAAGCTACTATTTAAAGAAAAAGTGATTAGCTACACGACATGTTTCTAAGAAAACTAGCTGACTATATTTGGTAACTACAAGCTATTTGTACATGCATATATATGAGTGTGTTTATATGTGTGTTAGTTAATGATTATTTTATTTTGTTTTATTCTCAGAGTAATAAATATTTTGCAAAAAAAAACAATAAAGAATCTCAATTACCCTGCTAAAAATAGCTTAAACCAGCCTTAACTGGTTTTCTAGTTTTAACTCCCCGCTTGAACAGGCAGGTCTGTTTTACTGGTTTAGGCTAACCGACCAGCTGGTAAACCAGCTTAAACCAGCTATGACCTTAAGCAGAGCAGTTTTTGAACCATTTCACTACAGTGATTCATGCATCGCAATGCTAGGTATAAGAGAGAATTTATTGATCTTTATTGGTCCATTGCAATAACATATCTAAGAAAAAAACTGTGCGTTTTTCTGCTATATCGATACACATTGGCTAAATTAGCTTGGAAAAAAAGTGACTTCTTTCATGCTGCTGAAAAAAATATAATAGTGTGACGACTTTTAGTTATTTACTCCCGAAAGGGTTTTTTAAAATTATTATTATGTGAGAAAACGATCAAATTTACTGCTTCCCATTTATAGTGTGATGGTTGCTTCACGCACAGAGAGATTCATTTACATTCACTTGCAAATTAACTTCTCAGAACAGGCTGTTCTCACAGAGCTTGCAAACACAGATCCTAGTTGTTCTTTTGCAATTGCATGTATTTTTGCCATTAAGTTCCACTCTTGGTTACGTTACACATGTCAGTTTGTGTGAGTATGATAGATTATCCCCCGGTGGGCCTCTCCAGCTCTGCCACCAGTCACATTTTATGGATTTCTCTCTATGTTACTCAACACTTGGGAAAAGAGTGCAGGACTTAAACTGGAGACAGCGCAGCTGTATGAACTTATTGACTGGAGAGCTGCCGCCCATTTGTACGTTTAGTACAGTACATTTTGACAATTGGCTTTTGGGAATCGCAATGTGCTTTTCATTCAAGAAGTTTGGTTGCGGTTTAGAATACAGTGTAGAGTTCTCTTGCAGTGTCATCAGACATGTACTGGGTTTGTTTTTATTGTTTGGCTTGAAGTTTAAGTGAATATGGGTGAGTGCTCTGCACGTTTTTATGTCCGTAAATCACAGGACAGCTGCTATTCTCACCACAAATGTGCTGGTTTGTGTTCTGGAACTTTAAAAAAGGACATGTTTGCAGTGTTTAAACACTCATATCTGGTGGAAAATATCTGGAAAATAACCAGCTACTTTGGTTAAACTGGGAAGGGGTAACCACATTAACCAGATTGCTGTACATAGCATTTTTGTTCATATCTGGAAATAAAGTGTAGTACTAAAGTAAACCGTGATTCCTTGAGAAAAATAGAAAGTCAAAGTTTACTCACTCTATGTCCTTATGACTTTTCTTGTAAGAAATAAAAATACATTTTGAAGAATGTACTCACTGCTTTGTTTCATTTTTTAGGTGAACAATATTTTCAATTAAAAACTTTCTCTGGTGCTTGGGCCCGTCATTGCTTTTTTTTTTTTGGTTTGGTTTGGCTTCCAACTACATTTAATCATTATTTGGCTGTACTTTACTGTTTTATTTTACTTTTAATGTGACATTTTACCAATAGAAAATACCGATATGGTTGTCATCATTTGACATCATACATTTGACAAACTACCATTGCTACTTTCTCAAGTTAATTATTTTGTTTTGTTTTTTTTCCTAAAGGTAAACAACACATCTGAACAATAGAGGAGAAGAAACTTTGAAAAACGAGGCACAAAAAGAAGCTGTCGTCAAATCAAATTAATGATGGTTTTGAAAAAGCTTCTGGGTTTCGGGAAACAGCTGCTGAGAGTGAAGGTTGTCGACTGCAACTCAGAGGAATCGCGACTCTCCCGATGTCTGAACACCTTCGACCTGGTGGCTCTTGGTGTGGGCAGCACCTTGGGAGCTGGGGTGTATGTCCTCGCTGGAGCGGTTGCCCGGGAAAATGCCGGACCGGCCATCGTGCTTTCGTTCCTCATCGCAGCCCTGGCCTCAGTGCTCGCAGGCCTCTGTTATGCAGAGTTTGGGGCAAGAGTGCCAAAAACGGGCTCAGCGTACCTGTACAGCTATGTGACTGTAGGGGAGCTATGGGCCTTTATAACTGGCTGGAACCTTATACTTTCATACGTTATAGGTGAGTCAACACAGAAAATCACTTGGGATAGTTCACCCAAAAATGAAAACTCTGTCATCATTTACTCACCCTTAAGTGTTTCCAAACCTGTTTGACTTACTTTCTTCTATTAAACACGAAAGAAGATATTTTGGGGAAATAGGTAACCAAACACTAGATGGACCCCATAGTGTAGGTTTTTACATTTCCTTATGTTTTTCTTTTCATTGTTATATAATGTTACTCAATATGTAAAACCTTTTCAGGTACATCAAGTGTTGCCAGAGCTTGGAGTGCCACATTTGATGAGCTCATTGGAAAGCAAATTGAGCATTTTTGTCGACAATACATGTCTATGAATGCTCCGGGCATTCTGGCGGAGTACCCAGATATGTTTTCCGTATTCATCATCCTCACTCTCACAGGTAAAACTAGTTACATAGGGAGCCATGACTGACCAATTAGAATTGAGAGTTCCAGTGTCGTACAGTGTTATGTATATAAATTGAAATATTTATTTCAAAACAGTGACTGTGAAACACACTCATTCATTCTGAAAATGCAAGCTGTTGAAGTAAATATTTAGTGGATGTTTGTGTTGACTTTGTTCCGTAGTGTTTTGAACTACGTTTTGTTTGCTATAGGCCTTCTGGCCTTCGGGGTGAAGGAGTCAGCCATGGTCACCAAAGTGTTCACCTGCATCAACATCCTGGTGCTGTTGTTCATGGTTGTATCTGGACTGGTCAAAGGTACACTGAAGAACTGGCACCTGGACCCTGATGAGATTCTTAACGGAAACAATTCCACCATCAAGTGAGTCGTGTTTTACGACATTTGGAAATTTATCTTGGAATATGTTTTCAAGTATGCCACAAAATTACATACCACTGAAAAGTTTGGGGTCAGTAGGACTTTTACTTTTTTAACAAGTCTCTTATGCTCACCAGCAAAACTCCAGTCTTCAGTGTCACATGATCCTTCAGAAAACATATTAATATGCTGATTTGATACTCAAGAAACATTTGTTATTTTTTATCAATGTTTAAAACAGTTGTGCTACTTTTTTTCAGGATCCTTTGATGAATAAAAAGTTCCAAAAAATGGCATTTATTTGAAATAGAAATCTTTTCTAACATTATAAACATCTTTATTAGCACTTTTGATCAATTTAATGGGTCCTTGCTGAATAAAATTATGAATTTATTTTAAAAAGAAACCTTACTGGCTGCAAACTTTTGAATAGTACTGTATATATTGACTTTTTTTTTTTTTTCAAAAGTTTCCATTAGAAAACAAGTTATATATCAGCTTTTTCAGTGTTACCTCACAAAACTGAGACAGAAAAATAATAATAATGATTGAATAACGTATATTTTATATTTTTGTTGTTTGGCATGTTTAAAATGTCTACATTACTCTCTTTGAGCAGTGCCACACAGCCCCTGCCAACAGAAGAGATTCTGGGTGAAGGTGGGTTCATGCCTTTCGGCTTCACAGGGGTCTTATCAGGGGCCGCTACCTGCTTTTACGCCTTTGTTGGGTTCGACTGTATCGCAACTACAGGTAACTAAAGACTCTAAACTCCAGTGCGCTCAAATCTCATGTTTAATCTTTAGAAAGCAGAAAATAAAGCTCAAATATATGATGCATGTCCCCAAACATGAGGTTAGTGAGAGCAAATTGTGCAAGAAGCCTGTTTTGTATGTGTGTAAGTGTTAGATTGGTACAACAGGGAGGCTATTATTCTACCTACATATTTGGCTTGCGTTCATGTCGCTTTGGTCAAAGTTATTTAGAGTTTCCTTTATGTTTATAATAGTACTGCATGGATATTCTCAGTGGATCGCTGCTTATGGTTTGCCTCTGGCCCCTGTCTTTTATGGCGGCTCACTCCCCCACATTCCCTTGCATTCGATTGGCTAGAGTGTTTCAGGGTTTGTCTAGACTCTTCTCTCGTCTCTCCCTGTAGCTGTGGTTCACATTCAGTAACCCCTCCTCATCCACATGCTGGTCAGGAATGGTAATATAGCCATGTTCCTGTGCTCTCTCTGGCACTGCTGGCATGAACACACTACTCCTCTGTTTTATGTAGTGTTCTGCACAAGGTCAAACCACAGGAACGTTTGCCAAAAGCGAACATGCTCGCACTACTCACTGCAGTAGCTAATTTTCTTACTCTGAGGCATCATAAAAGGATGGATTTCACATGGAGTGTGCCTTTAACTGATTTAATGGCAAAATTAAATGTACTGTAGTTGAATGAATGTCAATATAATGTACACTACTGTTCAAACGTTTGGGGTCTGTAACACTTTCTAAAGTCTTTGGGAAAAAAGTCTTGTTCTCACCAAGGCTGCATTTATCTGATCAAAAATACAGTACAAACAAAAATATTGTGAATTATTATTATTATTATTTAAAAGAGCTGTTTTCTGTTTTATTTTATTTTTAAATGTAATGTATTCCTGTGATGGCACAGCTAAATTTTCTGCATCATTACTCCAGTCTTCAGTGTCACATGATTCTTCAGAAATCATTCTAATATGCTGATTTGATGCTAAAGAAACATGTCTTATTATCATCAGTGTTCAATTTGGAACAGTATTGCAGTTGAGTATTGAACAGTATCGAACAAATTGAAAAGTTTAATATTACTGCTTAATATTTTTGTGGAAACTGTTTTTCTGGATTTTTTTAAACAGTTCAAAAGAACAGCATTTTTGAAACAGAAATCTTTTGTAACAATATAAATGTCTTTACTATCACTTTTGATCAGTTTAATGCATTCTTGCTGAAGCAACATTTTAATATCTCTTGTTATTTGTTATTTCTTGCAATTGCAATTATATCTATTTTTCGTTAATGCAGATATATATATATATATATATATATATATAATGTAACTTTTTTTTAAACTATCTTAAAATTACTTTTTTTATTATTTTATTTTATTTGATTTGATCTTACTTGGAAACATCCATAGTACTCGTAGAGTCACTAATTAAAAGACAACCAACAATCGGTTTTCTATTTCACACAATAATGATCAGTCGTGTCATGGGATATGATGGGACAAAATTAAATACCCACATATCAATAATGTAAAGAGCTGAAAATAAACTGGTATCTTGTTACATTAATGTTCTCTAGGGAAAAAAAATGTCTAAGAACTTGATAGTCTATGCATAGGTCTGTTTGTGGCCTCCTTTGGTTTGCCAAGGTTATTTATGCTGTGACACAGCGATTGTGCTGACATGTTGAGCTTAGTTTCTTATATGGACGATGCAGGTTTGAGTCCAGCCTGCAACCTTTTACCATTTGAAAACACAATATCTTGTTTCACATCACAGGTGAGGAGGTGAAGAACCCCCAGAGAGCCATTCCCATCGGCATCGTCTCCTCCCTCCTTATCTGTTTTGTAGCGTACTTTGGTGTATCGGCCGCCCTCACCTTGATGATGCCGTATTACATGCTGGATAAGAACAGCCCACTTCCCGTGGCCTTTAAGTATGTCGGCTGGGAAGGAGCCACGTACGCTGTGGCGGTAGGCTCCCTTTGCGCCCTGTCCACCAGGTAAGCACTGATCCATCCAGTCAGGGATTGTTTTAACACACACTACAGCCCAGTCTAGAGTAAACCGACCCAAAAATGTACTTGAAATTAATAATTACCCACGTTCCTCGAAATGAATGGATGTAATTACCCGCAAGCCTGGTTGCAGTTTAAAAGACCTCAGTCATTTTGATAGCACAACCTTTTGGCAGTTGACCAACCCAATCATTAAATTTTACTAAGTGAACTCGGACGACCCTAGGGAGGTTGAGAGAGTGCAGTCTGGGACTGGATTGCGTGATAGTGTGTGTGTGTATATTTATCTGAGGCAGCTCTTATGAGCCCCTTGCTAAAAATATGAAGGGAAATTTGGTGTGCTATGAATGTTATGAATCCTGTTTCTCAGTTATGCAACACTCAGTTCAGGCCATGAGTGGGAGTAAGGCTCTATGCCACATTTTTTCTATCCGTAAGTCAGGCAGTAATTAGTCTTATAGTAATGACCTACATGCATACACACCAGATGTTGTTGCTCAGAAATGTTCATGTACTATGAAGTATGAATTGTGTGTAATCTATCAAGTGAAAGTGTCTTCTGCATGATCTGTCCAAGTTCTAAACCTCTTATCCTTCTAACAACCCGCCTAACTTCTGAGTCACTAATGATAACGTCGGTAGCTGCAGAGTTGAAGTAGATTTATTGGCGTTTTTCTTTTTGGTTTCCAGTTAGTGCAGTATTTTCAGTATTAAATACTGTTTTGGAATCCATTCAAAAGTGAAGTGTGTAATTTTATCGCTTCAAATATCTACCTACGTTTGACTATCGGCATGAAGTCTGGTCCACTTTGCAGCTTATTATTGTGGAGAACTGTCGCCGATTTAGACACAAACAGATTGTTTGACCAATGTGATATAAATAATATATTTAAGAAAAGTGTTATATTTATATATAAAATATGTATTTATAATATAAATTATATATACATATTTTATTATATATATAAATGCATGTGTGTGTATTTATATATACATAATAAATATACACAGCACACACTCACAAATATTATGTAAACACAAACTTTTATTTTGGATGCAATTTAATCATGATTGTTTGACAGCCCTAAAATAAATACATTTTAAAAACGCAAAATACAAAGTTCTTCTAATGGATATCTGGTTTACATGCTACTAAATGCTGCAAATAAAAATGAATTTTTATCGTATCGAGTCGTATTTATTAATTTTGAGCATTTAATTATAGTTGTAAAAAGTAATTGAAATAATAAACATATATTTATAACATTTTAATAATCTTTGTACTTCTATGAGAATAGGAAAGGCCATACCACAACTATAACGTTAACGACACAGAGGAACAATATTGTAGGAATCACTTTCAAAATGTTTTTTTTTTTCCAGCTGATGAACGATAAAAATATTAACAGCCAATCAGAGTCCACTCAACTTAAAAGCACTCTAGCTTTTAAAGCGACATACAACAAAACTGTAGCGCACTCTTATAATAAACGGAATGTTATTGTCCTTTGGTTTGTACGCTAGTATAGTTATCGTTATAGTCGTTTTTATAGTTGTCGATTTTGGTGTGAACGTGCCTTAACACTAGGTGAATTGATAAAGCCCTGTGTACCTAAATCCCAGACGTTGTGTAACACCAGCCTATTAAATTAGAAGTGTTTTGAAGTATTTGTAGACTGATTTCCCTGAAGAGCAAACGCTGTGGCTATGTGGCGCTTTCAAAACATTTCTCTGTTTGTTTATGTGTTCATCTGAGGCGGGTGGTAGATGCATATGAAAACAATCATTATTTTTGCAATGCCACTTGTTACCACAGGTACTTTACTTTGGAAATTACATGCTTCACCTTTAAAATCATCCTTTGAATAATTAAAACATTCATGCCAAGAGATTGATCCTTATGCTCTTGCAATTAATTTATATTTTTTTCTGGATGGTCTAATATCACTTCTGATTGGTGGGGGTGGTGCCCTGTTTGTGGCATGTTTCTCTCCTATAATAACACCACAGCAGTGTATGAATGCACTATGTCTGTGTCTCTTTTTTGCATGGCATGGTTTGTTTTCTCCATCTCTCGCGGCAGCCTGCTTGGCGCCATGTTCCCCATGCCCCGTGTCATCTGGGCCATGGCTGACGATGGCCTGCTCTTCAAATTCATGACTGGGATCAACGAGAGAACAAAAACTCCCATACACGCCACTATAACAGCAGGCTTTGTCGCAGGTGAGCGAATTTTAATGCTACTAATCTACTGACGTCGCATTGCGTTCGCAGTATCGTGCATCTGTCCACCTGGAGCATGTTGCATGGAAAAAACGTTTTCGCAGCACTGAACCTATAGCTGGAATGGGCTGGGCAGCACAGCCGTTCTCCGACAGCTACAACGGGATTCGTTTAACTGTTTTCTTCGTAAATAAACTGGATTTATCCCTTTTCTGCCTTTGACACCACCTCTGGCAGCTGCCCAGTTGGCTTATGTGTTTGTTTTCTGCTCTCTTCCTTTTTTTGATCATCCCATGATCAGTCTCTTGGGGTCCTTGTTCCCCCTCCCACGTATAATCTTTGCCATGGCCCGGGACGGTCTGCTCTTCTCGTTTCTGGCACGAGTGAGCGAGAAGAAGACGCCCGTCGTGTCCACTCTTGCCTCCGGGGTCATTGCTGGTAAGAGCAGAGGGCATTGTGGGATTGGAGGGTTCAGCTCCAGTGGGCTGCTTTTGTTGCTGTTAGAAACATCAGCCTGTACATATCTATAGGGAGGAGGTTGGAAACTCACTGTTTATGAAACACACAGCAGTTACATGTAATTGGTAGTGCTAAAGGGCTTTTTTTGTTTCCCTTCTTTTCCAAGTGATTCCAGTAGTTTCTTGAAATAGAAACTTGTAAAACTGACTTTGCTGTGTTGGAATTATTTGTTTTGTTGTGCAAACATGACATGTGATACCATGACGTCAGTTTTACCATACTAAAGAGTCTGTTGACATTGTGAATAGTTTTCTGTATTTCCGTTTCATGCATTGAAAGATTGCTTATGCTTTTAGCACTTTCCTTGAATAGGGTACGAATAGCGACACTTTTTTATTATTTTGATTTTTCTTCTTTTTTAAGGATGCACTTAGCCTTTGGAAAGGAAGGCTAAACTAAATATTATTTTATTAAATATTATAATTTGTTCATAATTCATTTTATATTGTATTTATATATATATATATATATATATATATATAAACGTTTTAAGAACTACCATGTTAAGTAAATCCATAGGAAATAAATACAGGTCATTCTGATTCCTTTATGGAGTCTCAGTAGTAGTAGTAGTGATATCATTTTCTTTTTCTTTTTTCCTATTCTATGAAAAGGAAGTATAAAAATTACATTTTTAGAAATTCCTAAAACATTTATTATTATTATTATTATTATTATTAATTGATAACATTTTTATAAACCCCCCTTTATGCCTTCTATGGTTAAATGTGGTATTATTTTATACCCTATTTGTGGAAAGTGCCTTTTTTCAATTTTACAAATATCGATTTAATATTACAAATGGGCTTTTAAACATGTCGATAAATGTTTTGTAACAACTGATAATCCATGAATATTGACTCTTTTGATTGCAAAAAAAATGTTTGTTTTTTATTTATGTATTTAATTGTTCACTGTTCACTGACAAACAAGACACAAATAGATTCCATAGGAGTATTTTGAGGGAATCATGTTTATGTACCAGTAATGCTGGCCTAAATAGTATTACAACATATGCATGTTCTCTACATAAAATATATAGCTTTCAATCCTATCATCCTGTCATCAAAACAGATTACCATAAATCGATCCTTTCCATTCCTGTGCAGCTATTATGGCTTTCCTGTTTGACCTGAAGGACCTGGTTGATCTGATGTCTATAGGAACTCTTTTGGCCTACACACTGGTCGCTGCCTGTGTTCTAGTACTAAGGTGGGCAGATGCATGTGAATTTAATGCATTTAAATATTTGTGTCATTACAATTAGGCTGTTCATTGTAAAAAAATATGACATTGTAATCTACAGGTACCAGCCCGAGCAGTTTTCTCCAACATATCACATAGCCAAAACACAGGAAGAGATGGAAATGAGTGAGACCATAAGTACGCCCAGCATGGGGATTCTTCCTGGCATAGAAGAGCGTTTCAGCTTCAAAACACTGATCTTCCCCAGCATCACTGAACCCTCCAACCTTTCAGGCTTCACCGTTAACGTCTGTGCGAGTCTGCTTGGTATGAAACAATGTGATACCAGATTAAGACAGATCCTGTTTTTTTAGTGCTTTAGTACTTTATTCAGCTGTTCTTTCAGCTGTTCATCTAAACTGCTTCTTTTCCAGGTCTGCTGATCTTCAGCTTCAGTCTGATGGCCGTCCTGGGCGGAAGTGCAATGTGGAATATTGTCGCTCTCTGTGTCTTGTTCAGCATGTGTGTCATTGTCACATTTATCATCTGGAGACAACCCGAGAGTAAAACCAAGCTCTCTTTTAAGGTTAGTCCTCATAGTGCTAATGCACATCTAACAGAGTACCAGGATGTGGTCACACCCAATAAAATCAGTACAGTAGATTTACTATTTATAGTGTTAGTTTCATATAATCCATATAAAAGTTGATTATTAATTATTATACACAAGAAGCCAAATACTCATGTGGTTAAGTGACATAATGCTTATTTAAATCTTTTCCGCATCTCTTAAAAAATATATTACCAAAAAATTAAAAAAGATTCATACAGAAAATTACTTGAATGCACCTTTTAAAATTATTACATGGATCATGGAATCCCCCCTCCCCACTCAAAAATGTTATGGGAATACAACTGTCCTGATATTACAATGAAGACTATTGTTTTTGAGTATATGTGAACTTGGACCACAAAACCAGTCATAAGGGTAAATTTTTTGAAATTGAGATATATACACCATCTGAAAGCTGCATAAATAAGCTTTCCACTGATGTATGGTTTGTTAGGATAGTACAATATTTGGCCGAGATCCAACTATTTGAAATACTGGAATCTGAGGGTGCAAAAAAATCTAAATATTGAGAAAATCGCCTTTAAATTTGTCCAAATGAAGTTCTTAGCAACGCATATTACTAATCAAAAATTAAGTTTTGATATATTTACGGTAGGAAATTTACAAAATATCTTCATGGAACATGATCTTTACTTAATATCCTAATAATTTTTTGGCATAAAAGAAAAATTTATAACTTTGACCCATACAATGTATTGTTAGCTATTATACCTGTGCTACTTATGACTGGTTTTGTGGTCCAGGGTCACATAGTTTTTCATTATATATTTGAACTTGGTCTTTTAACTTCTAAATATTTGAACCTCATTTAAATACTTTTTTACTTTAATAAATAAGATTAATATTCTTCTAAATTCCTTCAAAAAGGTTTTTCAAAGCCACATGAAACCAACCATTGTTATTGTAAACTAAAATAGTTCCGGTAACTGAAATAAAGCTGAAATAAAATAAAATATAAATGTTAGATTAAAAACCTAAAACTGGTATGAAAATGTAAAATGTTTAGGCAACTAATTAAATGTTTAAGTTGAAGTACTTCAATTACTAAAACTAAAACTGAAATAAAAATAAAGCTAAATCGAAATAAGAAAGCACAAAATTACTAAAACTTCAACTAAAAGTAAAATGAAAAAACAAAATTAAAAATATGAATAAATACTATAATAGTATAGGAATAATACTAAAGTAACACTCAAGCAAACATAAATAAATTAGTGCATTTCTAAGAACTTGACCTTGCTTTATTGTAGACGCTCACTGACTAATGTGTAATAATTACACATTCCATTCATTTTTTGATGTCTTCCAACAGGTTCCTTTACTTCCATTCATCCCGGTGGTCAGCATGTTTGTCAACGTGTACCTGATGATGCAGCTGGACAGGGGTACTTGGATCCGATTCGCCATCTGGATGTCTATAGGTACAGCACATTCTCCTGCATGAGCCAGTATGCTTGTCAAAAAACCTTTGAAATATGGTCCGGCCACTCGTAAACAAGTTTTGCTACTTGTAAAGATCAAGTAAAGGCTTTCAGTCATTTGACAATTACAAAAGTCTGGTGGGGCTCCCGAAAAGCACTTGGCACGTATGCGGTCAATAATTTGTTCCATTATCCCTCTGTTCTCTCCAGGACTCATAATCTACTTTGGCTATGGAATCTGGCACAGTACTGAAGCCACACTGGCCCATTCCAGTATGGACGAGGAACTGAGTGTGTACAAACCCGCCCACGGCCTAAACAGGGACAGTGTGACCCCGGAAAAGGAGGCTTTCCTCTGTAATGGATCACGGGGTGATGAGGACGGAGATCTCTAATGTGGAACAGTGTTACATTATTTACTAAAACTTTACATGAAAGCACACCTTTCATGTAAAGTTTTTGTGGTTGTGAGGTTGTGAGGAGCACAGGCCGTTGGAATCGAACCCATTTAACAATGTCACTTCCTTGTCAAGAAGTCTAAGAGTTTTAAGTGAGTGGAGTCACTTAAAACACAACTCAAGGGTTTCGTTTCCTACTTCAGAAATGTTGAAGAAACCAAAACAGGCACAGGACCTTTTATTGAGTGGTTGTAGAATAAAAAAAACAATGTAGGCATCTGTGAGCTGCAGTATTTCATGTTGACGGCTGCTTTTACTGAATGATCTAACTGAACTTGTGCCTTTTGTCTTACTATTGCAATTGAAACTAACCAGAATTGCTTGATCTAAATCTTAGATGTCAGTGTTTAGGGTTTTACGTATCTGAACATGCCTTTACAAAGGAGGAAATCAAATCATGCTTGGCTTTTCTGCTGAATTTGTAGTGTCTGAGCAGTCCCATTTAGAAACCTTTTCTGGCTGATTTGAACTGCCCTGATCCAGAATTTGTAGGTTTTTGCTGGTCCACCTAGATTAGACCTTTAGATAGTACTGCCACCTGGTGGTGTGGTGGTAGGGCAGTCACCAGGGTTAGTTGCTTTTATCTGTCACAGTGCTGGCTACTGTGTCGTCTATGCAGATTGAGTCTGCCTCTTCGTCTGCGTCTTAATGTTGCATAAGCAGGTGTTTTTTTAGGATATTTGGAGAGAAGTTGATAAATAGGGGTATGTTTAGGTCATTTAAGGTGTTTGGACATGAATCATTGTGATACACCATTGTGTTTATGTCAGTCAAAATATTTGAAATAATTTCTAGGTACTCTACCAAAGATTATAATAATATAAATAGAGGCCACTATCTCACCAAGGCTGCATTTATTTAATACAGCAAAACACTAATACTGTGAAATATTATTACAATTTAAAATAACTGTTTCTATTTGAATATCTTTTAAAATGTAAGTTATTCCTGTGATGGCAAAGCTGAATTTTCAGCAGCCACTACTCCAGTCTTCAGAAATCATTCTAATATTTGGTGCTCAATTATTAATCATGGTTGTTATTATTATTACCAGTGTAGAAAACAGTTGTTTAACATTTTTGTGGAGACCGTAATCATTTTTTTCCAGGATTATTTGATGAATAGAAATTTAAATAGAATAGCATTTATTTGAAATATAATTCTTATTGTAACATTATAAACACTTTTGATCAAATGAATGCATCCATATATTGATAAAAATAATAATAATAATATTAAAATCTTTTTTAAACCCCTAAACATTTAAATAGTAGTGTATCACGATTTCCACAAAAATCTGAAGCAGCAAAACTGTTTTCAACATTGATGATAATAAGAAATGTTTCTGCTGATCAGCATATTGACGTTGGTTTCTGAAGGATCATGTGACACTGAAGACTGGAGTAATGACTGCTGAAAATGCATTACATTTTAAAATATATTCAAACCACGAACAGTTATGTTAAATTGTAATAATATTTCACAATATTACTGTTTTTACTGTTTTGATCAAATAAATACATCCTTGGTTAACATAAAGACTTCTTTCAAATTTGTTTTAATTCCAAATTTCTCCAGTAGTGTACATTTATTTATGCTAGTATTACCAAGAGCAATCACTTATGTCACATTAGGTCTCTACTTAAACTAGTCAAAGTTAGGTTTTATTAGTCAAATATTGCTCTTTTTTTATTCTTCTGACAATGGCCTTTCAGTTACCGCCATCATAAATTGATGATAGTAGTATAGAGGTAGAAAAGCTGGTGAGTATAATCTTGGCTATGTTAAATGGTAAAAACTTAGCATTATTGCATAATGAGCATCACAAATGTTTAGAATTAAATATAGATGTTTTTTCGTGTATCCCAGACTTTTTTTTTTTTTTTCAGGAGCGTGATTGCCATCTGTGATAACCAATCGAATATGTATTTCTATGTTCTAGTTAAACTTCTTCATATATTCTAACCTGCTGAAGCAGTAAATTGATGCATCATGCAGACTAGATACTTCGCAATCAATCAATATTCTCTCTTTCTTTGTTGATGTTCCATGAATTAAGTGATTTGTAAATGACAAAATAATGCTCTTTTTAATGCTCAAAACAGTAATGTGCAGAGGCCTTGTTCACATTTTTGGTTACAAAGGTTTTAGTAGATTTCAATGTTTTCTTATTTGTGATTGTGGCTGAGTTGGTGTTTGAACGTGAATACATTTCACAAGTTTTTTTAACTCTTGAAACTTGGCAGATACAATTTAGAATCAAATTACATACATACATAATGTATAAATGATCAGCTGCTTAAATAGTTGCATAACACATTAATAAATAATATGAATAATATATTTGTGATGAGGCAAGTAAAAATAACAAAGAGCCAGATGATCTAAGATATACCCAATATTACAACAAAAACACAATGCATTTAAAATGTGTTAAAGTATTTTGTTTTTGTCATTTTGTGTGTTCATTTTTGGACCATTTCAAATGTGGCGCATTCAGTATGCATAACTTAGTAAATGACTGTATACCTACTGTTTCAACTTGATGCTGTAAATAAAATACATTTTGGAATTTATTTTTTATGTTTTATGTAATATTTATTATTTTAAATAAATTACATTTAGTTTAATTAATCAATTTTTATTTTAAAACACCGTATTGTTGAACTTTATCGTTCTTTGTTGCCGCTTGGTGACGGCGTGTTACGCAAGTGTACTCTGATTGCAGTTCACCGCAGTGGCCGGCAGGGGTCAGCGTTAACCGGTACCACACAGCAACCGCAGCATCCCGGATCAGAGAGAAAGAGAGAGGTGAGCACTGAGCAGAAGAGAGATGCTCCGCTCAAAGCATCGCGCCGAAGCGAGCTCGATCAGTCAGCGGATCTGCTGTGGGAGAGAGCGGGCGGTGAGCGGGCTGAATGAGGGCAGACTGAACCTGTGATTCTCAAAGGTGAGTGTTTATACACGGAATTAACGTTACGGAGAAACACACGGGTGTTTTGATACGAATAGATTGTGTATCTAGTGCTATCTTGCTGTTCAAGGACATTAACTTGGTAAACATTTTAAAAAAAAGTAATGTGATGGCATATAACCCTAAAAGGTTGACTTTTTTACACTAACTTTTAAATATGTATTTGCATTTTGTATTATTTATAGACACGTTTATAAATATTTTGAATATTCTGAAATAACTTACTAGACTAGACAAATGCTGCTGTAATTTTCCACATTAGTTGTGATTTTAATGTAGCTCTTCTCAGCTGATAGATAGATAGATAGATAGATAGATAACATGCATGCACAGGCACGTTTCTTCTGTCAAGTGGTGAGATGAAAAAAATATAAACATCCCCTCAAAGCTCTAAACTCAAGACTTATGCACATATGTGACCCTGGACTACAAAACCAGTCATAAGGGTCAATTTTTTTAAATGTATACATCAAAGCGAAAAGCTGAATAAATAAGCTTTCCATTGATGTGTGGTTTATTGGGATATGACAATATTTGAAAATCTGGAATCTGAGGGTGCAAAAAAAAAAATATTGAGAAAATCACCTTTAAAGTTGTCCAAATGAAGTCCTTAGCAATGCATATTACTAATCAAAAATTAAGTTTTGATGTATTTGCGGTAGAAAATTTACAAAATATCTTCATGAAACTTGATCTTTACTTAATATTCTAATGATTTTTGGCATAAAAGAAAAATCAATCATTTTGGCCCATACAATGTATTGTTGGCTAATTCTACAAATATACCTGTGCTACTTAAGACTGGTCTTGTGGTCCAGGGTCACATATATGCTTTCATATGATGAGATAAAGATGTAAACATCCCTCTAAAACGGTCTAGATCTGGTCTTTGAGAGTTGCTGTCTCTATGGGATGTATCAGAATAAGGCAGAGCCTCTGGCACAGCTTAGAACTGACTTACTTAGCCTGGAAATTAACTTGACGATCGGCGCATCCCGGCAACCACTCCTATAGGAATAAATGTTTTTGCATAATGAAGTTTTACTTACCGAAACCCCTTTGATCCATTTTTATGTGTTTTTTTTTTTTGTAGTTGATAGACCGGGGTCACGACAAAAATAGGGAAGTAGGGGGGAGGGAACGTGTGAAGAACCCTGTCAAGGTTACAGCATCACAAACACACATCTGAAGTCTGTCTCAAGGGGTTACTAGACGTGTTGATCTGGTGAAGGAGGTTTGATAGGGGAAATGGGTGGAGAAGTATAATGAGGTGTTTGTATGAGTCATTTCAATTGCCGATAAGGATTATAAAGGCTTTTTCCCCCAAACATAATTGTGATCCACTTGTCAGTCAATGTAGGATGGATGAGAATCCAAGTGAGACTTCTTCTAGTTGTCCGTTGAAATGGGAAACCAGTGATTATTGACATATTAAGCTTTGAGTCTAACCAGCTTGTGAGTGTGACCTGTCTGTTACCTCTGGAAAACGGCTCTGCCGGGATGTTTTTCCTGCCATCAACTTGATTCCATCGCTCTACCTCTACAAATCCTCCGGTAACACAGTAGCATTTCTATTCCTTGCCCTCCAGACGTGGATCACGGATTTAGAGTAGTTCTAGCCTGCTGAGAACATCGCACTTTCCACACTTTACCTGTCCTAAATCCCCCGTCTCCTGCAGAGAGCTCTTGTAAAGTGCCCTGTTCTCTGTCTCCTCAGCCTGTCTTCATCTGGCAGCTCTCAGCCTGTTTTCCTCAGATGCCTGTGAGGATTCTGATCTTTCAACTGGATCAATCTTCTTTCCCCTTGTGCTGCTATTTGGGTTCCAACCCTGCTTTTAATTTATTTAGTATGGCCAAACATGCATGATTTGAGCTCTGCTTTTGTCACGCAAAGTCAGCCAGGAAGGCTAGAATCAAATATCGCTGCAGTGTTGCTGTTTTTCTTGGGATTGATTTCTTAATGTCATCACATGGGATGATAGATGTCCTTGAGACCGAGAGGAAGTGGTGTCTGAAGCATTAGCACTTTATTTGTGTTTCCTTCTGCTATCATTGCTAGCATTACTCTCTAGTTCTCTTTTAACAATCCTCTAGCTACTCATTGTTCTTCATCATCACATGTTGGTTATTAAAATAGCTGTTTTATTATCTATCTGCTTGTTCAGGCATATAGCTTAGTGATAACAGCGTCATAAGACGTTGATATTTGGTTACATTTCGGATGTGACGTCGGGTGACCAAAATTCAATGTCAATTCAACGTCTAATGTCAATGTTAAATTGATGCCCAATACCAACATCAGCTGACATTGATATTTGTTGTTTTTAGTTTGTGTAACCAAAATCCAACGCTAAGTCAACATCAAATTGGCGTCAAATACTGACGTCAACCCAATTTTCATTCTCAACCAAAATGCAACATCTGTCCAACGTCATGTCCAGCGTGAACCTGATGTTATATTGACGTCATGTGCCTGCTGGGAATACATTTGCCAATATTTAGCTATTTGGAAGTCATTAGCTTTTATTTCTGTGAATTCCTCAGAAAGACTACTAACAGCTTTGTTAATTCATAATGCACAATTTTTGTAATCAAATATGTCAAAGATGTACTTTTACTGGCAATGTGTGAGAATATCTCAACTGCTTTAATTTAATTGCATTAGCCTAATTACCATTAGCCTATGTCTACATTAACCCTACAATTTTCTGTAATTTTGGACCAATTTTGTTTTGTTTTTGTTCAAAACTTGATGACTTTTCCAGATATGCAATCTGAACAAACAAACAAAAAAACTTTTGATGAGTCTAATAGAAAAAAAAAGC